GGTGGGATGGCTGTCCCTCACCCAGGGACTCTGTGACTTGGAGCAGGTAGTTCAGTTTTCAGGACTCAGGCACCTTAGTTGGCAACAGGAGTGAGAACAGTTGTTCTGCGTTACATTATCACTCCCAGGATACAAACCACACCTGTTCCCAGCTCAGACCAGTGCACACAAGTGACCAAAAGAGTAGTGTCAGTGCCAGTGTCAGTGCTCTCCTTGCAAAGCCCTGATCTTCCCCTGTTTTACTCTGTTTCTTGTCTGTGGTGGAGGATGAGGAGCGGAGAAAACCTGTCCACGTAATCAACAGACTCAGATGGAAGGATATACGCATGTGGTTTAGTGCTGTTGTTTATTCTGTCTCTCTAGCTTCTAAAATGCTCTGTAAATTGCTTTTGTCAGAGAATTTCTAGGAAGTAGATCGCTTTAAAACTGTGTTCTTACTGCCCTTCCTTCATCTGCTCTGAAAACACTGTACACACCAATACTGCACAGCTCTTGTTTTATGAGCAGAGTGTTGGGCTGAGTGACATAGAAAAGCTGGGAAGTAGTTCTCAGTGATGCCCTTTCTTGAGACTGCTTTTCATATTGCTTACAAGGAATTGCTTAAAAATTATTTAAGTATCCATATGTTTCTGTGTTGTATAATACACTGCTAATATGATATCCCAAAGGGCCTTTTAGCATATCCTAGCGAGGCGTTTTTATAGAAGGACTACATAAATGTTATCTATATTTTTGCATAGTAACTAAGATATGCACTTTTATTTTCTGAAGTATTACATCTTAACTTAAAAAAAACTCCTTTCCTTTTTTATAATTCCTATTTCTGCACTAATAAGAGAATAGCATTATTTTAGATTATTAAAAAAAAGTTTCATTTATTTGAGATGGAGGGGAAGAGGGAACGGGAGAAAGAGAGTGAGAGAAAGAGAGAGAGTCTGATGGTTCATTACCCCAAATGCCAGCAAAATCAGGAGCTGGAAACTGAGTCCAGCCCTCCATAGAAATGGCAGAAATCTTACTTCCTGAGCCATCACTGCTGCCTGCTGCCGACCAGGGTCCACACTAACTGGAAGTTGCAATCATGAGTTGGAAGTTAGGGTTCAACACAAGCACTCCGCTGTGGAACATTGGCATCTTAATGCTTGGTCAAATATCTGCTCCAAAAGGAAATTACTGATCATTCTAAGATAGGTCTGTCAGCACCAACATAAACATGTAGTTACCTACGAGATGAGCATTTGGACTGCAAGGTGAGATGCACTTTGAGACTGTGGAATGTCTGGCTTGAGTCCCAGCTCCTCTACTTTTAATCCAGCTTCCCTGTTTCATGTGCACACAGGGATGTCTGCCTGTCTTTTGTCTCTGTCTCTCTGACTTACAAGTGAAGTAAAAATTTAAAAGGTAATTTAAAAGGTTATGTTGTGACTGATAACTTTCTAGGTTTTATACTTTAAAAAGTTCATAAAAATGGAACCTAAAAGGTAAGTTTGGTTTTGTGCAACAAAGATTTTAAAAACATGCATAGTAATTTTACAATATACCTTTTAAATGATTTTTTGAAGATTCCGCTGATACCTGGGTTTCAAACATTTTTTCTGCCACAGAACTTATCTTTTAATTCTGTTTTTTTTTTTTTCAAGTACTCTTATAGAATCATAGCAGGAAAAGTAGTAATTGGGTTAAAAACTGAAATTCATTTCCCATAAAATAGAGGGGAACAAGTCCTGAAAAAGTGCTGTAATAAAGGAACAATGGGCATTATGCAGTGTTGGATGTCAGGGCTGTATGGTAACGTTATGAGTGACTTTGTGCCTGACAGTTTGGGTATCTTAAATGAACTTGGACAGGTCTGTCATTAGAAACTAATTGGTAAATATTTCAGGGTTGATTGTGCTAAATTTGCCTAAATGGAAAATAATTAAATATGCATTTGACTCATTATTTAAATACAGTCAATTGTTTTTTTTTTACATTTTTGTTCTGTAATAAGCTTTAAGGAGAGAAAGATGAGGCTGGTGCCATGGCATAGCACACTAAACCTCCACCTGTGGCACCAGCATTCTACGTGTGTTGGTTCAGGTTATGGTGGCTCCACTTCCAATCCAGCTCCCTGAGAATGGCCTGAGAGTGCAGTGGAGGATCCACATTGGCCCAGAAGAAGCTCTTGGCTCCTGGTTTTGCACTGGTCCAGCTCTGGCCGTAGCTGTTATGTTATGTCCCTTTAGGGAGTAAACCATAGAATGGAAGATCCACCCCATCTCTCTCTTTCTTCTAACTCTACCTTTCCAATAAAAATAAATAAATCTTAAAAAAAAATAAAAGATGCCACTAGCCCTTTCCACAAAAAGCGCCTACTGAGAAAGGGAAGCAGCAGCATACGTTTTAAAGGTCAGTGCCAAATGGAATTAAAAGATAAGTTTATTTTGGTGCAAAAAAAAAGGGGGTGAAATTAACTTATGCTTAAAGATTCAGGGAGCAGACCTGGGCATTTAGCTTGGTGATCCCAAGAAAGGACTACCTGTTCTCTAGCAACAGAGAAAAGGGGTGCCAGAAGAGCTCTCTGAAGAGAGATGGTCTCCAAGCCCACTCACTATTGCCCGCTGTGTTATTTTTCAAAGATAAATCTATTTTTATTTTAAAGGCAGAGTGACAGAGAGTGAAGGACAGACAAAGAGAGATCTTGTATCAACTGGTTCACTCCCCAAATGGCTAAAATGGCTGGAGATGGGCCTGACTGAAGCCAAAACCAGGAATTTCTTGTGGGGCTCTTTTGTGTGTGTAGGCGCCAAAGCACTTCTGCTACTTTGCCAGGGCATTAGCAGAAAGTTGGGTTGGAGGTGGAGCACCTGGGAGTAGAATTAGTGTCCATAGAAGATGCTGGGATTACCAGCAGAGGCGTAAATAGGATATGCTATAACACTGGCCCCACCCAGCTTTTTTTTTTTTTTTTTACAACTTACTTTGTTTATTTGACAGACAGAGACAACTCCTGTTTAGCAATTCACTCTGCAAATTCCTACAACAGCCAGACCTGGAGCAGTAAACAGGCCAAGAGTAGGGAGCTACATTCTAGTCACCCGCATGGGCTGTAGGGACCTAGCTGCTAGATCTCTACCCCCTGCCTCTCCTTGCATATGCATCAGTGGGAAGCAGGCATCAGGAGTGGAGCTGGGAGTGGAACCAGGACACTCTAATAAGGGGTGCAGGTGTCACAGCTGGTGCCTTTTCTGCTTTCCTAAATGCCCTCGCCCACATATCTTGGAACACTTGCTCGAGACACTGCTAAGGGGATATAGGAGCAATGTGGTCTCAACAGTTGTGTTTCACATTTTCAAGTTCCATCATATCCTCTTATATGTGATATATAATCAGCATGAAGTATTCTTTTTTTCCTTTTCTCTACTAATTGTTCTCAGAGCACCCACTAGACTGTTGCATGGACCTGTTTTCTTTAACAGACTTGTATCATGTAGGATCTGAAACTTTTCAAGCATACACCTAGCAGTTTGGAAAGGTATCTTGGAGCTCAGAAGACTTTCATTACTGTTGTAATTTTGTGATTGTCTTTGAACTGATTTGCGTAGCAAGGAATTACCATCTGTTCTTGAATGCTTATAGACTTTTAAAAGTCATCTGTTTGGTATATGCTTGTGAAAGACTGGCCTGTCAAATCTGGGTTTAGATTCTAGCACTTGGATTTTACCTTGCATCTGGATTTGTACACATTTAATTGGATTTAGAGATTTCTTATATCTTGCCAAATTTGAAGGAAAGTCTTTGCTAGGTAGGTGCAGGCTCTACATGAAGATGGGATATTGCACTTCCACTTCTGCAGGGGTACATTCAGGATTACCTTACTCTGCCTAAGACTGGACCCCAGCCTGGTTTCCACACTTAGATTGGCACTGCCTGGGGTAATCTCTCCTTACCCCACCCTGCTGCCTGGATTGGGAGCATTCCCTCAAAGAGCATGACCTTGTAGACCTTCAAGCAACCTCTCCATTCTGCTGTACTTTGGTCTCTTGATTCTTTCTCTCCCAGCCAGCTTTTGTTCTATCCACCTTTTCAGTACTCACTCAGGATCTGGATTCCAGGCCTTTCTGTCCTTGCCACCTGCTTTCCTCACCACCTGTTTTCTAGGGTTTGGCTCATCTGTTGCCACCTGTCATTTACCCTTTTCACTTCCCTCTTACCCCTCCCCCAGCCAGACCAACCCCCTGCTACTTGCTCAACAGAAGAGCTCTGGTCATGGCTGCTCCAACTCTTGGAATTTGCTTCCCAAATAGCTGGTGGCTTCTTCTCACATTATCTGTAGCATTTGGCTCAAATGAAGCCATCTCAGTGAGTCATTCTGAGTTCTATCTATTGTGCTTGTTTGTTTTAGTCTCTCCCTTCTGGAATGTAAACTCCTGTAAGGTCACAGATCTTTATCTTAACCCCCAGAGCTTTTAATGATTCGTGAAAGTGCTTGGGCAGTACTGGTTGAATGAATGAATGAATGGTTTCTAGCATGGAAGCCTTAATGCCAATGAGAGGTGCTCCTGTTGCATCCGGGAGGTATGCACCAGGCAGCTGGGTGATGCTCATGCAACCCTCACCTGCCCTGCACCTGCAGACCAGCTGGGCCCAGCGCCCTTTGAAATGCCAACACTCTGTCACAGTCCTGGAAATAAGATGGCATTTGTGTAAAATGCTTTTTATATGACTTTCCGCAACTTGTCATTATATTCTTTTTACCATATAGTGCTATGGTTAAGTGTCTGTTAAAAAAAAATAACACAAAACCAGTCATTGAAGTAAGCGAGACACTGCTTCTACATGAACTAGGTGAAAATGAGTATTTTGCATTTACTGTTGTGTTGGCCATCTGTCTGTTTTTTTTTTTTTTTATGTATTGGCCTGATTTTAGAAGAATTACCATTCTCTGTGACTTGGTGTAATAGTATGCCAATTCTTGTTAAATAGAAGACAATGGTAATTCATTTTGTTCCTTTTTTTAGCTTTCCCTGCTGCAGAGACTTGTAAGAAAAGAAGACTTCCTCATGATCTCTGCTTATCATCCCTGAAACATTCGTTCCCTTTTCAGGTGAGTATAGTACTTTGCTTTGATCCACTCTGAGCAGAGCTATTGATTCTCTGAAAACCTGCGTCATTAAGGCATTAAGACAAAGAACCTTTTTGCTATCTGCCAAAGTAAAAAAAAAAAAATCATTAAAATATTGACAGGAAGAAGTCTCTGACTGTCCAAGATCGCTGCCAGGACCAGCGTGCCAGGGATGGTCAGCTGCTGTTCCAAAGGATTGCAGGATGCACCTTCTAGAGTCTTATACAAGTTACTGTTTGTTGTATGCTGTGTTTTGTTTATCAGCAAATTTTACAGATATTTAAAAGTCCGTCTGTTATGCATTTTGATTTGATGACAATTTTTAAAATGTGCTGACACTTCCCTGAGCTTTGTTCTAGAGTTGGGGTGTAATATGATTGCTGGGGTCCACAGAGAGGACACAGAAATGTTTACATGGCCGATGAAGATGACTTTTTAAAGGAATGGTTGGGTCTTTTCTCGTAATGCGGTTCTTGTTTTAAGGCAGCTAAAAAAAGGAAAGGAAGGCATGAAACAAAATGATCTTGTAATTTTCTTGCAGCCAGGTTTTTTTCGAATTTAATCATCCTAACACTTGAAACTTCCTGAGAAATGTATGTGCCAGTGCTTTTGAAAGGAATATGCAAACACTGATCCTTGGACCTTATTCAAAGGATTGCAAATGCAGAAAACAGGCTAGAAGGCTCCCTTTGTGTTTAGACTCTTGTTATCTTAATCAAACTTAAGCAAATGATAAAGTCAGTTTCTACTTGAAAGGTTCCCTTTTCAAAACTTCTCTGGGGCCAATTTTTGCTCTTTTATGCTCTGAGTGCTTGGGTCTCTACCTGAGATAACTGGGAGCCTAACAACCCTTATACCTTTTTTTTTTTAATGTTAAATGGTCCTGATCAAAACAGTGCTACTTTTACTCAAGCACCTTTCTTTCCCCATCTAATGTTTCCTGCTTCTGGCCCTCCACCACTGGTGGTTTGTTCTTGCCCTGACTCATCTTCCTTTCACGACAGCAGCTCTAACTTTCCCAGATCAGCACTTTGCCAGAGGAATGACTCAGAGCTCAGGTTGCCTGGTGGGGTCAGATGTGAGTCCTCTGAGGCCACGTCAGCTGACCTTGAGCTCAATCTCCAGAAGAAGTGGGAAAACAGACGTGCCCACCCACACTCTTAAACAAAAAGGGAAAGAGAGGACAATGGGGAAAGAAATAAGGAGTTCTGACTTTTAAAAATAGGTTAAACAAACAAAAAAATGGGATATGTTTATTTATGCTTTATTTGAAAAGCAAGAGTTATGGAGACAGATATAGAGACGAGGATAGAGAAAGGGAGAGATTTTTCCACTGGTTTTCTTCCAAGATGGCCCAAATGGCTGAACCTGGGGCAAGCTGATATCAGGAGCCTGGAAAAGTTACCCTGCTTGCCCACGTGGGTGAAAGGGGCCCAGGCATTTGGGCCATCTTCTGATACTTACTAGGTGCATTAGCAGGGAGCTGGATCTGAAGGAAGCGACCAGGACATAAGCCGATGCTCATAAGATCTGCTGCCCTTGCAGATGGTAGCTTGATTCACTATTCCATAACACTAAGCTAAGCGTTTTCATGTTTTTCTATTCATAAAAATTGAATAGGATTTTGCAAAGGTGGCTACATTGAGAAGTCCTTTCCTAAAAAAGACTACTCTAATAGAAAGTATCAGAGAATTTAATGAATTTTGAGAATTTGGTACCTGTTATTCAGACATTCAAGAGTTTGAGGATTGTTTACACATTTATTATCATGTTCAAGAATGAGTATGATTTAAATGTTGAATTACCACTAGGTTTATTGACATCTAAATGACAGATTTTCATAAAAAAGAAGACAAATTCTGTGATACCATTGGTACATTGCTTTCTTGGTGGTAGTTGTTTTTGTTACTTGTTAATGCTGCAATGAGCTGGGTCACTGTGCATGTAGTCAATGGTTTCCTTGTAAAGAATAAAGGGGAGGAGGAAGGCTAGGTGGAGGCTGTTCTGTCTGAAAGGACTGCCCTGTGACTCTGCCAGAGACCTGCAGGCTTCAACTGCCATTCTCACTGGCCGTACAGAGACAGGTGTTAGAATCCTCCTGTTGCAGGTGGGGGAGGTTGGAGTCCAACGTCACCCTGTGGTTCGGCAAACAAGTAGTAAGAAGTCCAAGTCTATCCAAATCCCTGGAGAATCCTCAGCATTTGATTCCTTCACAATGACGGGATCAGCAATGCAACGAGAAAATGATCAATGGAAGTGAGGCAGTGGAGAGGGTAGAATGGGAATGTTACAAGGAAACATGGGTCATTGATAAGATATTAGAATGATTCCGCAGAAACCAGGGAAGTCTTCAGTTAGAGAAGGAAGAGGTAGAAAAGTCACAGAGTGAGAGAAAGTGACTTGGAATATCACCCAGGTTAGAAGGAAGGATGTGCCCCATGATTGCAGTTCTGCCTGAGGAATAGCTGCAACTCCCAAACCTGCCTGTTTGCTTCCCACCCTCTCTGGTGTCTGCTTCTGTCTGCTAGTTGTGAGTGAAGAAGGGAGTCATGTGTTCTGAGAACACAGAGAGCTGTGGTGGTGTGTGTTTGTCAGGACTCTCTCTTCCATTGTGTCGCGTAAAACTTGGTTAAATATTCTGTATTTTTGATGCATTGGTCTTCATGGATACAACAGAAAACCTGAAAATAATTCTAGTCTGGATTTATTACCATTTCCACCCCTTCTGTCTTCAGCCAGGTAGAGATAGCCCCTCTACTCTCCTTGTGTGGTAGTCTCTGGGTGATGGTGGACATGCTTACTAAACGCAGAGCTTCTCGGGGTGTTGGCCCACCACTGTGTTGAAACATTCATCCCTTTGTAGTAAAGAAACCGCATTTTCCTATCAACATACTATTAATCAATACCATGTCAATTAATGCCATAAGGTTGTAAATGGCTGTTGATGTTATGTTCGGGCTTTTAATTGATTGGGATGATAATTTGCTGGCTTTACCTTCGGACCAGAGATGGTCTCACCAAGAAATCATTGCACCCACTAGGATAATAAGACACTGGACTTTATGCTTGGTAAATACTTCCAACAAAAGAACCTCAACTGAATTTGAACTGTGGTAACGCAGCAAGGTGGAGAAATCCACCATGGGGAAAGGGTTCGGGGAGGGGTGGGGGAACCCCAGTGCCCATAACTCTGTGTCACTTAATGCAATGCAATTAATAAAAAAAAAAAATGACATTGAATAAAAGGATTTGCTTTGTTCTTGTGAAAAAAAAAAATCATCCCTTGCCCTGTCTTGAGTCTCAAAGGTCTAATTTTTTTGTAGGATACTTAAAATTTATTTACTTTAGAGAGGGTGAATGTACATGTGTGTATTAGTTTTCATTGGCTAGGTTACTTTCCAATTGTCTGCAATGGCTGGGGCCGAGGCCAGGCACTAGGGACTCAACCCAGGTGTCTCACATAGCTGGCAAGGACCCAACTATGTGAGCTGTCTCCTGCTGCCTCCAGGGCCTTGACAAGACACTGGAATCAAGCAGGGAGCCAGGATTTAAAGCCAGGTCCTCTGTTGAATGACACTAGTGTCCTAAGCAGTGTTTTAACCGCTAGATCAAATGCATGCCCTCCTAGTACAGTGTTAAAATTCAGCTCAGCCTCATTCTCAATCAGATAGAGGCAGCTTTCACCATGACAGTGCATTGAATGATCTGCCTTGGGATGAATCCTCACCAAGGGGCTGTCAGGATACTTTGCTAATCTTTTCTCCCAGCCTGTGTGTATTGGCACAGCCATCTCTTCATCTACAGACTTCTCTGTTAGCCATTTAGCTGTGTATCAGCCACATTCACTTGATCTCTGCTCTCACAATAGTCAATTCAGTGAGCAGAAAACTCCTCTACAAACACTATTCTCATTGTGTTGTTTCCCTGCTCCCAAACCTTATTTCTCCCAAATTTCTATTGGTCCAATTTAACTTCTCCAGCCACCCCACTTCTGGATTCACAATACTTATCTAAACCCAGCACCTGCTGAGTATCCCTGATGCAAAATGCTTGAAACTAGAAATGTTTCACGTCTCAAAATTTCTTGTACTTCCATATTTATGATAGTTATCTTAGGAAAGGGAAAAACCTAGACCTAAACTTGGTTTAAGTTTTATGTTCTCTTTGTATATCTACCCCAAAGATGATGCTATATGATGTTTTTAAAAAATAATTCTGCATATGAAATATAGTTTTATATTATAGAATTTTGCACCTGGAGTATCAGGTTTGCTCTCAGAAAGTTTGGATTTTGTGATTAGTGGTGCTCATTCTATATGCATTATGCTTTCATTCTCTTCACACCTGGCTCATCCAACTTTAAGGGCTTTGTGCCAGGAAATAACTTACATTTCCCCTCTTCTGAAGTCCAGTAGTTTGTTTAAGGCCTATTTCAATAGTCACCTTCTTTTTTTTTTTTTTGAAAAATGAGAATTTGAGTATTTTTCTCATTTATTTATCCCACTGTTCCTTCAAGAACTTCATAGAAAAGTAGTCTTAAAATTGTTATTTGCTGTACTTAAGCATTTATAGGAGAGTATCCCTCAAAGCGCATAGAGTATAGAATTAAAAGAGAAGTCAGTTTTGCTTCAAAGATTTCGAAATCCATGCATTATATTTTCATAAGTAATGATGTGTTGTGAACTTTGTGAACACTGTCCTTTGCCCAGATTTCAGGTTGTTTGCACCTAAGTAAAGGTACCTTTTACGTCTGTGTTCCACTAACTTTTTGAAATACCTCTGAGTGTCGTTTCTCAGATTGTGAATTTATTTTGACGTTTTCCCTTAAAGTGACATGGGCTCTCAAGTATAAGGAGATGATTAAGCAAGGGCTATCTATCTGGTGCTGTCCAAGCTGGGAGATCAGGGGCTGAGACTCAAAGCATAGAGGGGCTGCTAGCCTGTTTCACAGCATCACCGCTGCCCCATGGACTGATTGGTGAATTTCTTGACTGAGGGATGAAGTGACACCCGGGCCCCAAGAGCCCTACATGAAAATGAAAGTGTCATTCAACAGCACAGAGTAGAAAGCTGATCTTCATTCTTAAATGCCCCGAACTATAGTAAATGCCATTTCTTTTTCTACTAAGACCTATTTATTTAAAAGGCTGTTACAGACAGGAAGGGAAAGACAGACAGACAGCTGTATATTCCCCAGCTGGCTGCAAGGGCCTAGCCAAAACCAGTAACCTTGAACTGCAACTGAGTTTGCCATGTGGATGGCAGAGATGTGAACACTTGGGCTGTCTTTTGGTGCTTTCCCAGCACATTACCAGGGAGCTGGTTCAGAAGTGGAAAAATCCGACTGGAACCAGCACACATGTGAGATGCTGGTGTTGTGGGTAGCAGGT